CACTATGCCGTCTCGCGCTTGGCGGTGCGTACAAATGTGCAGCTCCTTCATCCAGCGGCCTTGCTGGAGTTCCGCAGGCACTTGCGGGAGCTTGTGGAAGCAGGGGAGACATATGAGGCGGCCCTCCTGTGGGGATCTGTGTTGGAGGTCCAGCACTTTCCGCCACCCCCTCCTGGATTATTGGAGGGTTTGCCAGCAGGTGTTCCCGCAATCAGGACGGTTCCTTGTGTCGAGGTCAATTGCGCTCGCTGCCTTCGAGGCAGGGGTGGGTTTCGCTTCCCGTTTGTGGGCACCTATGCTCGGCGATCCATTGTCGTTTCGGCCGATATGCCTCCGGCTCAAGCCTGGGAAAGCTACCACAGGAGCGGCGAAGACCGCCTCAACGTGGCGGATGTATTCGGCCTGGGCTCAGGTCTTTGGCCAACGGACTTGCTGCCGGACCACGCCAACCGCCTGCTTCGTCATGTGGAGAGCCAGGAGCATCCAAGGGGAGCGACCCCTTCACAGCTTTGGAAGCACTGTGGCGAGCCTGGCAGTGTGGCGAGCTACTCTGGCGGGAGCCGGCCTACTTTCCGGTTCCCTCTTGGGCGGAGGGTCGGCGTGATGAGCGGGCGCGGGCCCACCGAGCGTTTTGGCTTTTGCTCGGGGCCTTGGAGGCAGGGTTGGCCGTCCTCCCCGCACCTTGCAGAAGCTGTGGCACGCCCTCTGTTTTGCAATGCCGTTCCTGCCTGTCCCGCTGCACCTCATGCTCGTAGGATAGGGGTATTGCTCGCGGGCATCTATGCAACTCAGGCGATGGAGGGCCGCGCCGGTGCGGTGGACGCGCCCCCAGACCTCAGCCGAGACGGTGGTGGACCGTATGGCAGCACAGGCGGTAGCTTCGTTCCGCGAGCGCCACGGCCTGCTGGAGGACAACGATTTCGCATATGCATTCTCGTCCTGGGAAGAAGCGGCAGAGAATGCTGGACACGCGGTGGCCGATGCCTGGTCGGAGTTGTCCCAGGACCTGGAGGACGATGCCCTCATGAGTCTCGTGGATCGCGCGGTTGCAGCTGGCGCCGCGGCTCCCCCCGCCACTCAGCCCGTTGTCCGCTTGAGCAAGATGATGCGGAAGCGGCCAGCCAACGCCCGAGCCCGGGCCTGGGTACCCTCCTGGAGGAAGGCGAAGAGGTCAATGGAGTCGATGTCGCCGAGCCCATCGCTGCGGCCTCGCAGCTGCTGCCACTGAGAGAGCTCCCGCAGCGTCTTCAGGGTCTTGTTGATGGTCGCCTCCTCGGCTGCCGCGACCTTGTTAGCCGCCAAGACCCGCAGGAAGGAAACCCACTCTTGACGGCGATCGCCCCGAAGATCCACCGGACGCCGCGCGCCCGCAGCCACCAGGTACTCCGCCAACTCGGCAGCCACTGGCCCTGAGACATCCGGCCTCTGCCGCCGCTGGGGGGCCCTCTCTGCAACCGGCCTGCGTTGGTTCGTCAAGTTGTCGGGCCTCCCTTGAAAACTGGGTGATCTTCGGCCAGCACCAGCCCTTGGGCGGGAGGGACCCGCCCAGGCTGCGGTGGCTGAGCCAGGCATGATCGAGGAGCTCGAGCATCGGGTCACAAGGATGTATGAGCAGGGCGATCCTCGTTGGTCGTGCCTCCTGGCAGACTGGCTCATCATGGCCGGCTGTGGAGGTCGTTCCCCGTATGCGTCACGCAGTCAACCGCCCACATGTGGTGTGGCCGTGGCAAGCAGGCTCATTCAAGATCGGGCTTCCGTTGGTCAGTGCCAGCGCATTTCACGGAAGGCTTTGCATGGGCGGAGGCCTGGGTGGAGTTTTATGGCTCCTTGCCGGCGACGGCGCGGAAGCACTGTGGCTTGTGCTTTGACCCAGCAGGCCGGCCTTGGCAGTTGCGCCAAGTCACGATGCTGACGCAGGAGGTCTTCAGTGGGATGGAGCCGCCGGTCACTACCTACTCGTGGCGGCGTGTGGCACCGTCCGTGGGTACGCTTCTCCAGTTGGATGAGCTGAGCATGCTGGCTCTGGGTGATTGGCAGGACAAGGGCCGCATACGAGAGACCGGCGCGGCGATGCCTTTGCGCTATAGCGGCACTCGTTATGCTGCCAGTGTGCGGGTGAAGCACCTTGTGCTCTCGGCCACGGCTCGGTGTCTGTTCAATGCCGCTGACCCAGGCCTGCGTGAGGAGGTCGGTGAGAAGGTGCGCCTCGACTCTACCGTCATTTGGCGCGCCCCTGCGGGCACACCCGGCCCTGAAGCCAAGCTTGCCTTCAAGGAGACGGCCCTCCGACTCCGCCGCCAGAGTCGAGCAGTTACCGCGGGAGAGACCCGCAGGTCCCCAGAGGAGCCGGTAGTTATGCCTGCCCAGGTGAACGGGCGAGTGTGCTCTGCTTTCCTGCGCAATGGTATGCGCCTTTGCCCGGCTTTTCAGTCCCAAGCCTGTCGGGCGGCCAATTGCGCGCTGGCCCACCAGTGTGCGGCAGTGCTTCGGTCGGGGCGGGTTTGCGGCGGGAGGCATCCAGCCCGCGAGTGCCATGACCGTCGCTTGGTCAAGCCGGGTGATGTGCCACCGGCCATTACAGTGGCTCAGGAGGCTGCGGCGGGAGCGACCCGCCCACCTCTGCCACGTGTTCGGCCGCCTGCCCTGCCTGTGGTGTCCACTGAGGAGACTGACATCGTGGAGGTCGAAGTCGAAGTGGAGGAGCCAGCGGCCACACGCCCAAAGGCGAAGCCCAAGCAGAAGGCTATGCCCAAGAAGCGCCGGGCTTTGCCCAAGGAGGAGCCGCGCCCACGAGTTCAGCTCAAACCTCGTGCTCCTCCGCCAGAGCCTTCTTCGCCAGCAACAGGGCCGCCGGCGATGCCTGGCGCAACATGGGTAACCGCCCGAGAAGGGCCGAGCCAGCCTCTTCATCATCCGAGCCGGCACCTCACCTGGTGGCATCCTGGGTGGACAGGCCAAGGTCTTCCGGCTCCAGGGAAGGGGCCGCTGCAGGTGCCGATCGTGGCCGCGGTAGGAAGAGGCCGCATGAAGACGCGGAGTCGCGCTATGATCGGCTCGCGCGGGAAGGCCACCGGGTGGACCGCCGGGCGTTGGAGTTTCCAACGGAGATTTGGCGCAGCCTGGCCGGGGGCAAGTTGTACCTGGGTGGCCTGCCCACTCGTGCGAATCCGGCCAACTTCCCCGACATTGCGCTCCAAGTCACGGCCATGGCGAAGTCCCCAGCAGACCGCGGAGGAATTGTCCTCCCGGGTGCTCTGCATCGACAATAATGGCAGATCACTTCGGGCGATCGTCGTGATTCCGACTTCCAGTCCCTGCTGCCATTGGTCCGGGCTACTTTGCACGAGGGCCAGAATGTGCTTACGCACTGCATGGCTGGGCGGCACCGTGGCGCTGCAGCCGGGACGGTCCTCCGTTCCATCCTGAGTGGCGACAGCCTCGACATCTCTGAGAGTTATATCCAGGAGCGGCGCGAGATTGAGCTCAGCCAGATTCGCCGCCAGAACAGGGACCTGAGTGACTGGATGTTGCGGACAGTCCGCCTGACAAAGTTGGGTGCACCACCTCCACTTCCAGTGGCCTACACAGTGGGCCGGTTGACTTGCGTGAGAAAGAAAGAGATAGGAGAGATACGAATGAGTTAAAACGGAGATAAGTTAAGTAGGTTTTAGTATTGAATATTTTGTTTTTAATTTTTTTTATATTTATTTTTTTTTACTTTTTTTTATATTTATTTTTTTATCTTTTTTTATCTCTTTTTCGGTTGCGCCGATGATATGTCTCCATCCTGGTTTTTGTTGGTTATTCAGTTAGGTTTAAAGGCCGCTATGCCTGGTTTTAGGGAGAAAGCAGAGTTGCAGCGACCTTCTTTTTTTCATCGCAGAGCTCGCACGAGGCCGGTCTCTTCGAGCAGCCA